ATCGACTAAAATCATCAAGAAAATGTATGTAAAATCGATAACCTTGCACAGATTGAACTGGTGATGGTCCCCAAATATCAGTATGAACAAGCTCTAAAGGTGCTAAGGAACAAGACATTGAATGTGGAAAAGGTAAACGTTTTGCTTTGCCAAACTGACAAGCCTCACAGAAAAACTTTCCATTAGTTTTCACCTTTTCATTACATTTATTTAATATTTGATGCAAAACCCTTTCACAGGGATGTCCTAGTTTACGGTGCCATTCATCTAAACTAATAGAGTAAGCTTCAGGATGAATAGCAAAAACAGCAGAGTAGGCTTCAGGTAGAGGTCGTCCCATTGGATACATTCCCTGTCTTGGTTTCCCTTGCAGTAGCACTTGACCTGTCACTTTGTCCTTCACAAGACAGCCATGATCAGTAAATAGAACATCCACCATATTGTCTTCAATAAGTTTATGAACACTCATAGTTTTTTTAGTCGCAGAAGGAATGATTAGAACATCATTAAGATTTAAAGAGGTTGAATCACAAACAAGAGAAGAGGTACCAATGGCTGAGATAGGGGTCTTTTGCCCAGTACATGTTAGTAAGTGAGACTTACCAATAGGAACAGTTGAATCAAGTGGCGCAGAAGTAGGAGCAATGTGATAGTTTGCACCACTATCCATATACCAGGCAGAGTCATTCACAGACTGTGGTGAAGCAAAATGTGCCTGAGGTGAACCATGATCAGTACTAGACGAGAAAGAGCGATCAAGACGCTGAAAGCAGTTTGCCATCATATGACCAGGTCTGTGACAGTAAAAATAAAAACGAGTATCACGACTTCCCCCACGAAAGGAACGTCCACGAGAACGATATCCACGACCACCACGAAAGCTACGAATGGGACCACGAGCAATAGAAGAGCGAGAATCATCATGGTGAGCAGCATTCACATTGGGCTGAAGAGATAGTGCAGAAAATGAATTAAGCTGTTCAAGTCTGCTTTCAAAGGCCATTAAGGAAGCCTGGGCATCAATCCATGTAAGGTTAGGAACATCAACAAGCTTAACAACAATAGCATTATATTCAGCATCCAAACCACTAAGAGCTTGAGTAATGAGATCCTCAGTTGAGACAGGAGATCCTGCCATTGCAAGTTGATCAGCTAGATTCTTCAGTTTGGTAAGGTATGCATCCATTTTCATGCCATTTTTCCTGGTACTTTGGAGTTCTGATTTGAAGACAAGCACACGAGCTTTAGTAGATGCACTTGCCAGAGCTTTAGCACTATCCCATATCTCCTGGGCAGTTCGGCAATGCAAGAGTTAAGCTCCAATGTCCATGCTCATTGTGTTTCTCAGCCATCCGACGAGCAAACGATCAACAGCGCACCACTCAATGTAATCAGGATTTGGTTCAACACCTGAATCATTTGTAGCAGTAGCAAATGAAACTGGACCAACACCATTAATATGGGCCTCCAACTTGTTGCCCTCAATCAGTGGAAGAATGATAGACTCCCAAAACAAATAGTTTCCTCGTTCCAACTTGACCGAGGTGATCTGATTACTAAACAGGGGATTCGTTTTAGAAACAGTGTGAACAGTAATAGTAGGAGAAACAGAGGATGCATTAGCAGCAACAGTGGACGAAGATGACGATATTTTTGAATAACAGAAAATATCTCTGGCTCTGATACCAAGAAAAGAATCAGACAAGAAATGAAGAGTGCTCTGATAGTGCGGTGCCTTGGCCTGCCATTTCCATTAGAAACATCTATCTTAAAATTAAGACAACAAGTTATCTGAAGAAAAAACTTGCAACAAGCAATAAAACAAGATTAGCTCACAATATTAGATAAAGAAGTAGCATCCATAGTACATAGATTAAGATATATCAATACTTTGCATGAGGTCATATTTCACATGTACATTTCTAGCTAAATATTGTGAAGGATGGAAATTGATTTGCTAAATATAGATTTGCTTGTAGGTTGCTGGTAAATGATTGAAGCAAAGCAAGCGCTATCCTATAAAAATTTGTCCTTTGAGCTGTGCAAAAAAGTCAAAAAGTGTCCATTGAAGTGTAAAGCAAACAACCTCTAAAAGCTAAAAGTCAAAAGTTGTCATGTACAATGCTAAATTGCAAATTAGTGAAGTATAAAGCAAGCTATCCCCAAAAGCCAAAAAAATAGTCCAGTGTATAGTTTACTGCCCTGTATGAAGAAGAAATTATGTTACTAATTAGTTGTAACATGTATAGAATGTGAACAGGTTGAAATGCATAGAGATTGGTTTTGTTCATCAGAATCAAATTGTATATGACATTTTTGAAATGAATAAAGTTGTATTTTTATGTATATTGTGTACATATATTTTCTTACTCGTTACTTTGTGAGTAGTTTGTCATGAGATCTATGGCATCAAGTGATGAAATTTCACTACCTTGTGCCTATATTTGCAAATGTTAGTGATTGTGACATGAAAACAAGATTACAATATATAACACTTAGTAGAAACTAATGTATTGATTCATACAATATATAACCTATTTTTTGGATATTATAAGAAGATAATAATTGGATCCATTCTTCTTCAAACTTGTCTATATTAACATAATTAAACATGCATTTCTTGAAATCAGTCAAAAATCGTGACCCTTCTTTCATCAAGTTCCCAAGGTGTTTAACACCATTTTTCAATAAATGCCAATTACATAAACAATGTTTTGTATTAGGAAGAACTTCACGCAATGCTCTTGCCATAGCCTGATCTTGATTTGTAAATATAGTTTGAGGCTTATTTTGTATGTGAGCATCCAAAAATGTTTCTAGTAACCACTTGAAAGACTCAATAGTCTCATCATACAACAGCGCTGCTCCAAAAATGACCACACTTCTGTGATGATTCAACCCAGAAAAGAGTGCAAGGGGTCAATGATTCCGATTAGTGCTATATGTTGTGTCTAATGATACAACCTCACCAAAATGTGCATAATCTATTAGCATACGAGCATTAGCCCAAAAAACATTAGTGATGTGTTGGTCTGAGTCCAACTGATATTTATGGTAGAATGTTGGATTTTCTGCAATTTGTTTTTGAAAATATTGAAGCTGACATCCTACCTCTCCAAACTTCATACATCTCTTCTTTTTGGACTCTAAGTAGTTATTTGCATCTTTCATCGTGTATCCAAGATTTTCTTGTCCACCAGCATATGTACTCATTAAATCAAAAGTAGCCCTTGGTTCAAGCTCAGATTCTTCTGCAAGATCTATCTCATATGCCTGAGCTTCTAATAAATTTCTCTGGGATGGTAACAAGCAAACCATGTCTTCTATATGGAGAGGGTGATTATGCTCTTTATCAAACACAATAATTTTGAATTTTTGCCCAATAAGAGATACTACCATTCTTGCCTTACATTTCGTCCTTGTTTCTAGCCTATGTATAGAAGAATATATTTTTTTTTTCATTTTTTCTCCAAACACCTTCCTTGCAACATAAATATCTATATGTGATAATAATTGACTTATCTTTTCTACTCTTTGTAGAAGTACCCTTTCTAACTCCAAATCCATTTTTTTTACCATATTCTCTCCAACCTCCCATGGCTCATCTAAACTATCAAATTCTCTCCCTATTTTGGGTTCTGATTCATCCTCCACTTACATGGTCCTTGTATAGAACAAAAGTATTATATATATATATATATATTTTTATACAAGTTTTTCAGAAAAAAAAGGGACATAACAGAACACGCGCATATCATTGTTATTACATATATATAACAGAACACACACATATCATTGTTATTATATATATATATATAAAACAGAACACACACACATATAGAGACTTGATAACATAAAATTTTAATTTTGTTCCTCAATCATTTCCTTTCTTTTGTCTTATTTTGTTATATTATATATATATATATATATATATTTCATCCAATATCACATTTGGTATTTATCTATTTAGTTTTGTTAATCTCTTAAATTATCTCTAATTCCAATTAAAAAAAGAAGGACAAGAAAAACAGTCATAGAGAGCTTGAGCATTCTAAAAAGAAGAAAAAAAAGACAAAGAATCAGCTCTATGATAAAGCCTATTAGAAAATGGCCAAAATGAAGACGCAAGGTCCCTCCCTCCACTTGAGTTACACTGTTACAGAATGCTTTGCATAGATCTGGAGCTCAATAAAAGATGACAAAAGAGGTGCCAAAACAATATATTCCTCCCTCCCTCCTGTTGATTTTATAAAATGAGGTTGAAGGCGTCGAACAGAGTTGAGGAGCTCAACATCCTTATTTTATTAAAAGTTTAGTAAAATAAAAATAATTAATGGCTAAAATTAAATCTTTGCAGACGGCCTAGATTTGTTCTCTTTAATGAAACGGTGCGAATGGGCGATGAGCACCTTCGTGCTCAGCATAATCCCCACCCCCGGAAAGAAGTTAATTTTGACAATGCTGCAAACACTGAAAAATTGAATTTTTCCAAAACAAGTTCGTAAGAAAGCAATATCAATTTGGATTCCCGATTAATAATCGATTTGTGATATTCCTCTCATCTAACGTCTCTCTCTCTCTCTCTCTCTCATGATGGTAACTGCTTTATTATCAGTTTGTCTGAAATTTGGTGTTCTGTGATTCTGTCATATTTCTTTAGGTGTTGGTGGCAGCAGGGGATCGTATCATATCAGCCATGGATTCAGCGAATGGCCTTCAAAACCTGACAGCAACTATACCACAGATTGATAATCTGTAGCTACCAATGGCTGCACCCTATAAGCCATAGCCAAGGGTAATATTATTTCAGATCGCTTTGCAGCCATACTCTGTTTTCATGGAGATTGATTTCTAAGCTTCTTCATGTTCACCCCTGCTTTCGTTTCCAGGCTGGTACTTTCTGTTTAATTCATTCCTCTAATTTAGTGAATGGATTCTTAGTAATCCAATCAAAATTTAGTTGAGAAATCAAAAGTGCGTCACACTAAAAGTCTGAAATAGAACGAGGTAAGAAGCCTGGACCAAGAGCATCAATATCAATTCAACTTTGAAATTTCAAGATAGCAGAATCAGGATCCAGGAGATTTAGTATACCGGGGTGGTGTGCTGTGATATGTAAAATGCAGAATGAGCAAGCGAGGAATGCAGTTTATGAACAACACATAGACCCTATAAGCTTTTGAAATGAAAACTGAAATTGGTCATGAATCGGAGACTAAAAGGGAATCCCAAATGATGTCCATGTCTAAGGAGGGCATTCTACTTAACTGAATAGCCTCCATGTCAGATATCTCTTGATGATTATTTTTGCTTCTCTCGATTGTACCATCTCCAACCTTGGTCTCTATCTCAAACTGCCATTCATTTTTAGGTGGATTCTGATTTTTATTTTTACCGTTGAATTTGGCATTCTCAACTAGGCTCTTATCCAATGATCCTGGCAGGGGATCAGGGGCCACTCTTTGAGAAGAAATTCCTTGTGATATGGCTTGAAGCTTTGCCTCCAGTAGGGCAGCTGTTGTTCCATTCAAAGAATTGGCCTTAATATGATGCTTTAGATGTGGAAAGTTCAGTTGAGCATATTCTCCACGAAGTATGTATGCAGCTGTGTCATAAGCCATGGCTGCATCTTCGGCCGTGTCAAATGTCCCTAGCCAAACCCTCGTTCGGTTCCTTGGTAACCTAATCTCTGCAACCCATTTTCCCCAGTGTCTTTGCCTCACCCCTTTAAACAGCTTCCCACGTCCAGCATACTTCATAGGCTGAGTCTTGGTGGTGCTCATGCAATAGTCATTAAAAGACCTGGATCGGAAGTTTTTAAGATTCTGATTCATTTTCAGTGGATCCGTACCTGCTTGATTCTGGATTGCATGACACTGGGGCACAGAAAATGAAGTGTCTGAAATTGTTGGCTGAGATTCACAATTTTTGAGCCTGTCTAGTGGCTCAGTGACCTCTGAAGATGATGAAAATAACATGGAGTTCTCCTGCCGAAACAATGTCACATATGGAAATCTAGATGTAGCATTGGAAGAAGCTGGAGAAGCTGTCTCATCAGATGCGCCTGCTCTTGGTAATGCTGGCAGTGTTTCCAATAGATTTAGAGGAATGAAACTTTCTCCGGTTCCTGAGGTTGAAGCATTTGGAGTACAGATGGGATTGAATTCAGAATTCTGTTGAACTTCGGTGATTTCCTCTTGATCAGCGGCCCTTCGAGGGAGAAAACTAGTGAAACTTGCCCCGGTTAGCTCTTCTGTTGACGACATTGAATCTGAAATTGAAAGAAGCTTTTCAGATGATGCTATTGATGAAATTGAATCCATCCCCCTTGGCACAAGAATTTGATGAGAAGCAGTGAGAGTCTGAGACCCTCTAATGATTGGATGCCCTAAAATCTTTGATCCCATAGCCGTTTCTTTAAAGCAAGTTGGAAATTCCCTTTGCTTGGAGATTTCCATCTTCGGAAACTTGTCATCCATATGGATTCTTCAGTGAGTTAAGTCGCAATAGAAAAGATATATAGAAATGATGCAAATAAAGGCATTTTGTTACGTGTGCCCGCGCACGCGCTTTTGCCCTGCACACCTCATTCTGACTGTATTTGTTTTTTTCCTCATTAGAATATTAGAGGAACCTACTTTGTGACTACAAGGCCAAGTTGCTGCGGCATTCAGATCTATTTCTTTTGAAACAAGAAAGATTCCCCCCCCCCCCCAAAAGAATTCATGCTTGCATGCCATATTCTAATTTTCCCTCACAGCCAATCAGAATTGGACGGCTCAAGCTTTGCATTAGCTGTCTTATTCGTTTCAATTCAATGCATAGATGAACTGACATTCGTTTCATGGCAGCAACTACAACAATCTCTGACTTCATGTTTATGTTTTGGTATTTTGTTAGGTATTATTCTCTTTTTCCATCAATGGCCACGTGATTTTGTTGAACACCCACAGCTAATACTCCCTCCCCCCCAACACACACACACACACACACAATATCATGCAAATATAATTTAATGAGGAAAACCTGTTTACCTTTGACACATTATTTGTGTAATCATGGTAAATAGCTGTGATTTACAGTATTAGAATCAGTTTTGAACTAGTGGCAATGTCTTTCTAAATTCCAATCACCAGATGTGGTAGGTGACTTCATAAGACGCATTTATTAGTGATTCCTTAGCAGTGCAACTAGCAGAGGTTGATTATATATATTATCATGTGCAAATTAATCAAGTTTTTAAAAGAAGGATATGATTTAAAATTTCTTTGATATAGCCTGATGATGTATGTCAAGGCTGCCTCTCGTAGGTATAGTATTAAAGAAATGGCCAAAAGCGCATGAGCACAGCACAGATATGACCTATTGAACTTCCTTTTGGTGCAACAGTTCAATGTCTTTTGAGATCATCCAGGAGACACCTGTCTTAAACAACTCATCTTGCGGTTGCGGACTCAAAAATAAATGGTAAAAAGAAAGTGCATAGGGGTGTGCAATCGTTAGAATTGCTTCTCTCAGTGAGATTCATTGCTCTTATTTGAAGTTACATGCTTTGTTCAAAGTCCCTGGCATATGACCATTCCAAGGAAGACAATGCCATTGTAAGGGCTGATGTGTGAGGGACAGATTCTCCATAGGCCACATTTCATTGCACTTATTGCCAGTAGTTTATTGTCTGATACGACTTTTTAATTAGTTTATGGAGGGCGCACATGGTCCTGACGAAGTAGCAATGTGGCAAGAGGGCATGTTTCTGAATGTTGGTTTAGTTAGCTGTTAACTGTTCCCCATAACAAGGTAAGTTTTCTTAATTTGTTCCTGTGGACTATACCAGAAACCACTGATAAAAAACCAGAATATATGTGTTTGTGTGTGAGTATGCATATTTAAATTATAGAATGCATCTATTGACACATCATCTCTTCTCAGAACTGAGAATGAGGAATTTGTGGCTGGCCAGGTCTGGCAGTTAGAGATAAAGATGCGTTTTGGCTTGCAGCGTCATCATTCACTGCTGCTCTTAATTTGCCTTGCTCTCTGTCAACCTTATCGTTGGTTTAGTGAGCAGGTATGAGTTTTATTGCTTGCTATTTTTTTTTAGTAAATATTTTCTTATTCAATTTTCAAATGGTAGGCTTTTGGGGACTCATGAGAGAAGCCCGGAAATAAAATATGGATTTGTAGATTCACAACGTGAGCACCACACCACCGAGAAGGGAAAGAAGCAAGTCACGTCTGTTGCAGCTGCTCCAAGCAATTGATTGAACAACTTCTTCCTTTATTTTCTGCTCTTCCCACTAACTTTTCTTGTTCGATTCCTTAACCTTTTCTCCTCCAAGAATATTCTAGAATTGTTGCCCAACATTACGAACATCTTCTGCTACATTGAAGAGAAAACTATAGTTACAAGAGAACAATGAACCAACCCTTTATCTTTTATCTTTTTCCTTTATCTTTACCGCTTACCTCTTTTTATCTCAAAAGAACATTTGTTTGTGAGTTGTGACGTGGGAAAAAGAATCAATCTGTAACTCAGGATCGATGCATGTACCTTTGCCATCATCACGTTACGGGCCGCATGTGATCTCCACATGAAATTTTTCTTTAAATTTTAATAGTGGAATAAGTTAGAGGTTAATGATTTAATCAGAGAAGTTTTATCATCACAATAAGGATGAATGCGAATTTAATTTCAGAAAATGTTATTTTTCTTGCTCGCAATTAAAAAAGCTTGAGCGTCAGACGCCGTGACCAATTGTATATGTTATCTGTGCTTAAGATTGGCGTGATTGTACGCGGAAGGTGACGTGGCCAATTAGCATAACCTATTGAAAATAAAGAGTTAAATATATTATCCTCTCTTCCTGAAAACTAAGTTATACCTGCTAAGTTGCTTGGAGTCAGCTCCCCTCACCTCCTCCAAATTTCCAAGGAGTGGAGTTTGAATGGTTTAGATTTGATATTTTTTATAATAAAAATTTATAAAAATTTTAATAAATTTATTTATCAATGTAAATAGTTCAAATTTAATATAAATGATACACATCTAATTTATAAAAAAAATTTTATATTAAACCTGCACTATCTATAATATATCTAAAATAATTTATAAAAAATTTGATATTAAATATGGATCATTCATATTAAATTTGAACTATTAAGATAGGTGAACAAATTTATTAAAATGGTTAACATTTTATATCATCTTTTATTTTAAAAATGTAAAATAAAAAAATAAATATAAAAATTTGGATAATTCAAATTTCATACCTCCTAAGCGGATGTGTGGAGGAGGGCTTTCCTCATAGGAAGGAAGCCAACTCCTAACATCACAATCTTGCTTAAAAGTCACCAATTAAAAAACTAATTCTTGTTAAACGAAAGTTTTACTTAATTTCTACATTAAAATCATTGTCAAACTCATCGCACTTGTCATTTATATAGGAACTTTTGCACAAGTTTTCTAATTTTCTTTAAAATCATATCCTAGTCAAGTAACAAGAAATTTCCTACCCAATTCTATGCCTTCAGTAGTAGTGACATGAAAATTTAAAAATAATAATAATAATAATGCACTCGAACTAATCACAAGTTTAGAAGTTAAATAATCTTCAATTCAGTTAAAATTATTTCTCAACCAAATTCTTATGTTCTCAAAATAGTGACGTGAAAACTAAAAAAAGTGGTCCACTTGGACTGAATCACAAGTCTGGAAGTTAAATATTTTTTTTCTAAACCACACAGAATTGTTTCCCAATCAAATATTAAACATATTCCAACCTTATTCTAATGTCATTAATAGTGACATGAAAACTAAAAAAATTGGCAAATATGGCCTAAATCACAAATATGAAATTCAAATAGTTTCCAAGTCAGTTATAATTATTTTAGTCAGAAGCAAATTTTAATTGCAGAGAAAGGCCATGGTTTTTAAATTGAATTCCATCATTTCATTACCTAAATTGTACTTGTCAACCTCAACAAATTTTTGCCAATGATCTCCCCCCTTCTATTTGTTCTATTTCATCTAGATTCAGAGAACAAAATTATTTATATGCATGTTCTATCTTATGATGAAAACGTACTTTGGGTGGTTTTCCTCGTAAAACTAAATACAAGACTCATATATATATATATATATATATCTTACACAGACACGCGCAAATGTGACTGACCTTCACCAAAAATTTCTGCATACCGAGAGTTCCATTAATAATGTTCAAGACTCCGGTTGCAACCATTTGAGGAAATTGGTATTCATATTTGATAAAAATCTCATACATCAAATTCCCACAACTCTCCAATCTTGATAACTAGGAAAGCTCAACTATCTTTGGGCGTTTTTTAGAATGCTGATTTCTCTTTTGTTTGCTGATGATATTATCTTCCCTAGAAATTGGTTTTTCACCAATGGAACATGTTTTTGAATCATTTTTTCCCCTGCCATTAATGTCTTCAACGTGGCTACTTTGGTTATCCTCATCATCATAATCGTCAGAAGAACCTTCATCAGAATCCGTTTCACTAGCATCAGCAACCAATGGAATCATTGGCTGAGAACCAGAAATGGCAGACTCTGCAGCAGCCACAGCCTCCGGTGTATGGAGATCAGCAACACCAAGCATTAGATCCTATGATAAAACAGCATCCCAACCATCTTATATAGTCAACTACATATTATAAAATAAGTGTGGTGAGGGAGAGGGGACCCACTTATGTGAGACTCTGGGACCCCTGGGTAAAAGTGAGCCTTATTGCACAGTCCTTTCTCTTTCCTCATTTCAGACGAAACAGATTTCAAGATACTTCCATTCCAACTATTACAGAAATCTTTTGCATTTTCAGGGAAATGTACATCATATTTACACCTCTTTTGGATTGTCCACATTTAATTTGAAAAGTACAGGTCTTTTTTTCCCCATTTTACTTCCTTCACAACTAAAAAATATCAAAATTAAAAATAATAAAGTATAATGCATTTCTTCAGTCAAAAAAATAGTAATAATAAAGTATAAACCATTCAATCAGATCTAAACAATCCAAGGGGCTATGTATATCCCTCCAAATGAATGAGGATCCGAGTTTGTAAATGAATAATATAAACGGAAGTTACTCAGAGAGGTAGATAACATATAGTTATATAAAAGCAATATAAAATATTTAATTACCATCTCAATAACTTCAGATTCATTTCCTGTGAGCTCTTCTATGTCATAATTCTGTGGATTTTCCTACATTTTATCAAATATCAAGTCTTAACAAATATGGAAATTGTAGAGAAATAATATCATTGTAAAGCAGTTCAAAATTATGGTTTTAATCAGAAGTCAGTTTGTAACCTTTGCATCGAGCTCCAACTGTTGATTGGCTTCTGACATCACTCCTAGGAAGTCTTTTACTTTCCCTAAAACTGCATTAACAAAAAGAACATTTGATATCTAGATAAGGAAAAAAATGACTGATTTTTATAGCTCCATCTTCAGAGGAATGAAAGGCATTAATAATATCATGAAAGACAATAAAAAGATCAGTGTAGGTGGTAGGATCTTAAGTCTAGTCCCATTTGGGGGCTACAAAGGAATTGTCATTCAACCGCACAAGAGTTCAGATATATAATATTTTATTATACTCCTTTTATTATTATTCAATAGTAATTATAGTCTTCTATTATTTTCTTCATCCATGGTTACAAAGGATATGAGCTGTGACTCACCATTTTCATTCTATTCTTTCTTCTATCCCATCTCATTTGGCATACAAACATTCCTTAATACATATTTTTAAATTATGGTGTCAGCAAATTATTGAAAGGAAAGAAATTTGACGTGTGCAGATCTAAAAATTTGTGTCAGTTACCACATACACAGATAGTTGTAAAATAAAAACACAAGCACATATGCCTTTGCAGTAAAATCCCATCCCGATGAACATCATAACAAACAGTCAATCAAGAGAGGTTTACAAGATCACCAATACGATGAAAAATCTAGATTTTTGAAAACTTGACCTAAGTCTCAACAACAGGTAAATTGTAATTAATATCATCGATATCAATAGAAAATATAAACTCTGTATCAAGCTGTACTATTCACAAGCTATAAATTGTGTGAGACATTTCATTCAATTCATGAGGGATCCACCTGATTAAACAAAGACCATAGGAAGAGACATGATACTAATTACTTTTTGGGGATTCAAATTACATAACAGAACAAAGTCATTGAATCTGAAAACAGCCAGCAGATCAATTCAGTTCAACTGATTAATAACTCAAACCCTGGCGCGGGGGGGGGGGGTTCATATAGGTTGATATCAGCTCAACTCACTAGTTACTAGTTGGAGCAAAAAAAATACGACCTTAAGCATCATCATCATCAACATTCAAAGACACATACTAGATTATAGGAGATATAGAACATTAAGCTGGTTGTTGACAACCAAATTAACTAAATTCAGCATCAGCCAGGAAAAACACAATCATCAGTAATTCTTGTAAATATCAACATATTTGCCTAGAATGTGAGTCTTACGGTGACTGGGGCCTACTGGAGCTGTGAGGGGCGTTCCATCAAAGGGACGCTTCTTAGTGACAGAGCTTGAGTCGTTTTTACAAAAAGAAAGTGAAGATTCTGCAAAACAAAGGAAGAAGCATTGTAAAGATGACACAGTTCATAATTAGGAAAACAATAAAGCAGAGCAACATAAATTCCACTAATTAAAAACCAAATAGAGTTCCAGAGAGACAAAGACCTAAAGAAGAAACCGATGCATTCTTGTGTTCTAAGTGGAGAAGCTCTTTACTTCTTTGTTCCATCTTTCCTGGCCCTTTAGCTTCCAGAGCAATAGCTGCTGAGCTGATTACTGATACAGGCATAAATACAGCATCTTCATAATCTCAAGGGTTCTTTTAAAAAAAAAAAATTATAAAGTCTAATGTTAATGTGGACACGTCACACTTGGCACAACTCTAATGTTTCCTCTGGGAAAAAAAATTCCCACTCTTCTTTCTAGAAATATTGTGACTAATGGGCCAAAAATTGGATTCTTAACATTATTCAGGCCCAATAATTACGTTCAATTAGGGCTACACAAAGGACAAACCAGACAGAATTTCAGTTTAATTTGAAGTTTGGTCTCTTTCATGAGAAGGACTAGATTAAATAGCCTATGGTCTGGTCTAGAAAGAACCCAAACCCAGGCAAGAGCAGACTTGGTCCGTAGGAAAAAAGGAATAATTCAACCTAGTGAACTCAATTAAGACAACAAATATACTTATAATCATATAAAACTTATCAAAATCATTAAAATCTAATCATAGTAAATCCATAACAATCTCTAACAACATTCAACAACAAAAAAAAGTATTCAAGTTACAATCAATGGTGATAAATCCATAACAAACTTCAACAAGTCTAAACTACATTACAACAAGTCAACAACAAATTTCGACAATCTTCATGCAATCATCTCTTCCAACACATACATTTGTCAAAAACAAATTTTCACCAGTAAAAGGAGAAGATTGAATTCAGTCAACAATGGAAGTTTGCTCAAGATCCATGGCTACACAAGGATAAAAAACAAAAATATTACCAATGACAATAAATTAATCCAATAAGAGCAAATTACACAAACATTGATCAGAATAATACCCAAATAATTGTCCCTTTCTATTTCACAAACAGAGTCAATAAAGAAAAAGATTAGCACTTCACCTACAAAAGCTGCGTGTAACATGACCAATAAATAGTAACCTAGTGCGTCAATGACATTTCGATGACTTCCTTACATCTACAGCCTCCTCATAAGTCATTTTCCTGCTTTCAGACAACCGTATTATATTTTATATATTATTGGTGTTTAATTATCAGTTTGAAAAAATATATTAAACTACACAAAGAGTCCTGTATGCCTACTGATATGACAATAATCTACTCTCATAATTGATTTGCCAACAAAAGAAAATGAAGAATCGCGTTTAAATGAAAGGGAAGCAATAATTAATGATGTCAAGTTTGTCAGTTTCTTATATCTGTGATCTATATGTATCACACCAGAAAGGAAACAAGAGGGAGGACAATACATACCCTTTTGTTTTTTCCACATGTTAGGATATGACCCAAAAAAAAAAACGAGTTGTCTTCAAAAACCTCTGTATCATGCTTGCAAGCTATCATTTTCTTAAGCCTTCTTTTCCAGAAGCATATGGACACAGTGAATTCGTGGGGAATACATTAAGAACCAAAAAAATTATGCAGCAGAGACCAAAGCAAATTAGGAACTGGAGAAAAGCATAGACCAACAATGAACAACAATAACCACTGACCAGAGCACGATGGCAAGGCAGAGCAACTAGAAGTAGAAGGTCTGAAGGAGAGCAGCGACCACGAGCAAGGACGAGTCGTGCTCACGGATGGCAATCACGGCAGCCAGAAGCAAAAGATCTGAACTCTGAAGGAGCACCGATCAGAGGCACGGCCGCCGGGAGGCTGTCAGGCAGGTCAGGGTGCGTCTCTGGTCTTGCGAATGCGATAAGGAGGGAAGTGAGAGAGTAGTGAGATATGTGGAAAAAAACAAAAGCCCTCCTTCCCCGTAGAACGACCGCGTTTCAGACTTCATGTAGTGCGTGTATTAAAAATAAAAAATAAAAATCCCTCCCTCCCCATTAAACGACGTCTTTAATTATAGTTTATGTTAGAATAGATAGATTTGGGTCGAAAATTTAAATTTAAAATTACATATTTAAAATATTACCTGTAAAATTTATAAATTTTAAATTCTTTATTGAAATGATATAATAAATTTTAAATTATAATATAAAAATTATTTATTTGGACACAAGACAATTATAGCAATTCAAAGGTTACAAATTGGACTTATGACATCAGACCATTCCTTATTAACAATGGCATTTGGTGTGAGATGATGAAGGCAGATGGCTCGAAGATGGTGGTCACAAGTTAGTCCTAAATGGTGGTGACAATAGCAAACTTACATAGGTTGGATGCAATAGACCAGCATTAAATGATGAGGACAATAGCAAATCAACACCATGTGGTGGAGGAAGGTGGTTGAAAGTGAATAGAAATTTAAAATTTTTAAACTTAATTGATGACGGCGGTCTAATCTATGTTAAAGGCGGCCGTCAGGTCCTAGTCAATGCTGATGGTCAGGTCATAGTTGAAGTCTTCCATTTGGTCTCGGTCGATGCCAACAGTTTGATCTCGATCAAAGTCAATTGTTCAATCCCAATTGATACTAGCTGTTTGGTCTAGGTCAGTGCTAGAAGTTTGGTCCTTGTCAACATTGGCCATCAAGTCCTAGTTGGCACCAGCGATTTGGTCCTAGTCGACACTGGCAATTCGTTTTAGGTCATTGTCTATGGTCTGGTTTGATCAACATCAATATTTGGTCTTAGTTGGTGTAGAATGTCAAGTCCATGTTAACTTTGGTGGTTAGGTCATGGTTAGCGTTTGCATTCTGGTGTGTACCAATTCTAGTTGACCTTGACTGTCTAGTCCTAGTGAGTGACAGCATTCCGGTCCCACTCATTGCCTGCAATTCGGTCCTAGAAGAAGTTTGTCAGAGGCAACGATGTCGAAGTCAAGAAGGTAATAAAGCCAACAAATAAACATGAAGAAGAAGAAGAAAAGCTTTCATGAGATTTTGAAATAATAGAGATTTATAAAGGATTTGAAATTATAAAAGGATTGAGGTAGGAACCCAAATCTAAATCCACACGTATTTAATTACTCAAAACAATATATTTAGCTCAAATTCAAATCCATGTGCATCCAAATATAACATTAATTTATTTTTGCCAACTTGTTTAACATGGAAAATAACAAATTAATGCCCTTGGCGCAAATGATAAAATAGTCCCACAATAATTATATTAATTTGAAGTTTTTAGAACCTATTTGTCATAATTTTGTATTTAAATTAAAATTGTTAATCACAAAATTTTGTTGTTAAGATAAGAAATATACTCGTTATTATAAAACTAAACTAACAACAATATTTTTTATATTAACAATTTTACCTTTATTATTAACAATGTCAATTTAAATATTAACAATTATATTTTTTATTATTTTGCTGATGGTTAAAAATATAATTTCAGAAAAATTGTGCAAGATAAGTCCTTATGGACTTCAAAATAATTACTGTATTTCACAGTACTTATTTATCATTTGCCTATTTCAATAGAATTTATTTGTTATTCTTCCTTTGAAGTGCTATCATTATTTTGGATTTCCTCAATGTTTTATGGTTTTCAAATTTCAAATTTCAATAATATATGTAATTTATCTTTTGTGAACAAGATATTAATAAAAAGCCCCCAGTAAAGCTTATGAAGGCTAAAAAATTCGAACATTAATTATTTGAATCTGGAGAAATTTGCGAAGAAGATAAAAGCCCAATTTGAACAGTTCAAATGTTAAAATTGTTTTGAAAATAAATTAAATAAGAGATGTTGAACAACAAACTATATATGACAAAAACAGCACCAGGAGTTTGCGGGATAAAGTCAACTGCATTTTTATTCATGCACACCTGTACATTCATTCACCATCTCACAAGACCCTTCATTGATAAGTTACTATGGGTTAGTGACCCTGCAATTCTTCCTAATCTCTCCATTAGAGCCAGTTTTTGGATTGATATTACCCATTCTGATCATGGAATTCACAAAGTCTTGAAAGAAAAGGGTAGTGTTTTTGCTGTAAATTTGAACCAGAGGTTTGGTTGTTGAATTGGCTTCATCACTTGAGAATAGGATCTGATCAGAACTTAGGAGGCCCTTCCCAACCAGCAAATTCTGGAAGTAATGATTGTCAAATAAATCCTGTGAATTCCTGTCAAGAACACTGGTTGTGTTTCCATCTCCATTTTGGGGACACAACTTTTGAAGATCTGAGAGCATGTCTGTGTCTAGTGTACTGTCTGGTGCTCCTGTTCCTGAGAAGTTGAACAATCTGTTGCTAAACAATGCACACCTTGCTCTCCCAATGGTATGAGAACCTGTTTGCAAAATTCATTCAATATTTACATTATTAGTTATCAATAGTTATAGCAGTTTCCTTAATCATGTTTCATGTATGCTATGCAAACCTGATAAAGAAACAGCGTCAGAGAGATTGAGGCCGACATCATTGAACTTGGAAACAATAACATCAAGTGAATCAAAGGGAGAAGGAAGAGCTGAATTTGCCAATGACCCGTTTGAGATTGATCCATCTCTTCGTCCTAGCAAAACTCTCCAAAAGGGACCACCAATCTACAAAACAGTAACCTTTCATAATATTGTCACCCGTACATGCATGTCAAGTAAAGAATCTTGATTTATACAGACATGCGCCTGCAAAATATGGTAAATTCATTTCTACCATGAACTTATGGTTGAACATAAGAACCATTCATTCATAATAATCAAACATTTCATTGTAAGTAAATTACAAAAGTGGGTTGTGAATAGAATTACAAGGACTACAGAATCTCTGGCAGCAATGGCTAATATATCAGCACAGGAGACAGTGCCGTTGCATGCATTCTCCACTGATGTTTTGATTGTGTCTATAACATCAAATCCTCTTAGAGAGTTCACATTTGGAAGAGCAAACTTTTCACTATCAGCACCTCCATCCAGTAGTACTGATCCATCACAACCCTGAAGAAGATGACAAGAAGGTTGAACTTAACACAGATATACAAAAAAGTGAAATTTGGACTTAAACGAAAGCTTACATTCACAAAGCAATCATGGAAGTGAAGACGAAGCAAAGAAGCACCCATTCGCATCTCATTCATGAGAGCATTTCTGACCTCTTTCCTAACTATTTTCAAAAGGTTTGGACAAGATGATTCGTAAAAATCAGTTGTCAGCTGGGATTTCACTGCGAAACACAACATAAACATATTGATAAGCCAGAAATAACCATTAGAGCAACTTGGTTTCTTCATTGTCAGTTTGGCGGTTTACAACACAAGCAAGCGTGCAATGAAAGGCTACGATGCATGGGGAAAGCCCAACGGGCTTAATATATAGCCGTTTTAACTGGTAATATAACAATCATATATATCCTATTATAACACGACTTGTCATTTCTTTTTTTGGATTAGTGCTGGCGGCTGCAAGTTTAACTAAATTCAGTGCTTCCATCAGGTTTTATATCCATAAATGTAAAAAATCACAGGTCTTTGTATCACCAAATTCATATTTATATATGGTAGTGCGATGCCTTCGTAGTTATTAAACACTGTGTAATGCACGTTTAATTTTTGAGTTCATGAATGATGACACGTTCGGAAGCACTACTGGTAATAGAAAATTAGACATATATTCCAGTTAGCTACCACTTGGAGAAGAAGTTCGAGTTATGCACGCATTTAATGATTTAGGGTTGTTAATTAAGGAGGATTTGGTTAATATATAATATTGATGCATACAGTGCTTCGACCTCTAGAAAACTTAATTGTATCTGACGTTAACAATGGATAACTATCAATTTCGTTACTCAACTCATCACTGTGCAAATGTGAGCATGATGCTTCTTTATTCAAGATAGTGAGTTTCATTCTTCTCCGGTTGGCCATTCTCTTCTTATTTGGCAGACCCACTTTCAAAAGATTACTTTCCTACAGGTACCACTTTCAGCAAATCAAGTTGAAAGCATGCCGGCAATCCAATTTGAGATCTCACATGCAGAAAGAGTTATTCGTCATGAACATAAATATTAAATAATCCAACCATTCAGACATTAGATTAATGAAACCAGGGTTGCTGCATAAGGATGACAGCAAACTTACAAAAGAAATCCAATAAACCCCAAACGGAATTATAGCAATAAAACTCTAGAATCGAACCTCCCATGTAACCGAAAAATTTACAATTGGCCCGAGGAAATGGGTTTTTTCTTCAAGTATTAAATGCAAGTTTTGTTATATACCATAGGGAAATATTAAAAAAAAAATGATCATTACATTCAGTTAACTCTTTAATTTAGACTACCATTTCATACATCTACGCGTACATGCACGAAAAGGAATTTCTTGTACCCTCGGCTAATTCTGATCTTCTCGTCGTTATATCTGCAATAGAAAACTCAATAACGAACATACATTCTCTTCTTTCAAAGGGATAAAGAATACATAAATTACTACTTCAATGGCAAATGAAACATATAAAATGGATGGATTATGAAAGACAGATATGATATGTGGGGCATGCCATCTTACAGAAGCTCCAGGACGAACTTGGTCTCCATTTCTACGGGATATCCAAACGGACCACCGATTATAGCTGCATCGTCCATTGTAACGTCAAACATTTTGGAGCCAGACTTGCTGCCAATTTTGGACAAAAATGATGTAAGAAAATTGGTACTTATTTCCAATTAAATTATGATGTGGATTTTCTATATATTATTTATTCTATCACAAATTCTTGCTATTAATATTATTTGCACATTGAAATCCACATTTTAAATTGATTGAATAAAAGTATATTAAGTATGTAAAGCAAAGTGTACAAGTCTTGCCCTTTTGATTATACATTCAAAAAGACATTAAGATAGCCTCTAGATTGATGGATTTGGATTTTAGATTTAAAATCTCGAATTTTAAATACCATATTTAAAATTCATGTATTTATAATCATTTGTTGGGATGGAGTTAAAAATTTCAAATGACAAAAAGAGATGAGGTTAAATTTTGAAATGAAAACGGAAAATTAGAAATAATAAATTTACCTTTATTTTTCAATCGATGAGAGACGATAACGAGAGATGAGAAAAGATATGAAATTTTTCGAGGCATCAATAGTGAAAACATGAAGAGAATAAAAGTGATTAAAATTTTAAATGATTACAGTGTAAAAAGAACTTGAAATTACAAAGAAATTATAATAAGAAATGAATTTGAATTTGGTCAAATCCATAAATTTTTGTGTATCTAAATGAAGGAGTTAGTTCAAATCCAAATTCTCAATGAACAAATCAAGTTATTCATTTCTGGACCTATGGATGAGTTAATTAGAGACCTATACAATTGAAATATGATATCTGGAGGATAAGTCTCTTCATATTTTTAGGGTGCAAGCACAAGTATTATCTCGCTAGACAAGTAAGTCCCTCCCTCCCTCCCTTTTTTTGAATCAACTATCAACAGCTCTTCAAATAAACAACAATATTATTGAAGTAAACAACATTTTTATTCATGCTGATTGATTCTAATAATCCCCCAATATTACAAAAGAGTTCAGTGAAACTTACATATGATTTCCATTCATAGAGAACTTGAATCCAGGCAAGATGTCGACCACAAACTTTATCCGTCCATTATTCCAGATACTCTGACAGTCATAGCAATATGCAGATTGAAGTGAGGTGGTACGAATGACAATCAGAGAAAAGCAACAATATAAGGAGTAACTGACTACCTGCTTGCCCATAAGACCATTGGCAGCATTCTCTAACCAGCTATCTGTCTCATTCTGAAGTAGAAAAGGTGTTGTTGATTTGTTATCAGTTATATCATCAAGAAAATTTAAAAGAAATGTTTATATTCCAATTAGCTTCAAACATTAAAGCCATTGACAATAGTTGAGGATCTTCCAAACGGCAATGAGCAACAAGAATTGTTTTCATTGAAAGCCCTCAAATGGTTTCTATTTTCTTTCATGACTTGGCCCTCAACTTCTAGTCTCACTAGAACTCTGATTATAAAATGGAACACTTGTGATACTGTTAGGACCCAAGATATGTGGAGAGAAATAAGACAGATAAATCTCTATTAACATATGAAATTAGAACCTAATTTCATAATATTAATAAGAAGGCATAGAACTTATAGATGAAAAGAGAAAGAATAAATATATCAAGATAACATAGAACAATAATATCATTCTATGAACTTATAGGTGAAAAGAGAAGGAATAAATATATCAAGATAACATAGAACAATAATATCATTCTATGCTTCTCTGAATAGTTATTCTTAGGAGAATCTCCAAAGGACCAAAAGTCTCAAAAGTATTTTTATTCATGGTATGACTGCTTTTGAGTTGCTAAGCATATTTATAATGAATAAAATTTAGATAACTAGATAAAATCTAAACAATATTGTTAGATAGAAAATATCTAAAATAAATTAGAAATTTAAAATAATATTTATTCCTAATATTTCTCTCCCCAAATCACCCATTATCTCGATACTCTATCAGATACGCTCCTAAATACCTGGCACATTCCTATACTCCCAGCAGGTCCAGACATACACAGAAAGACTAGAAGGCAAAAACTCAAGCTATTATCAGGTTGAGGCTGACTTCTGATTCCATCACCTATGCATCTTCAATTCACTCAATGTTGATAAAAGATTTAGCTTCTTATACCCATATTTAAGAATCTTAACAAAATGAAAAGAACAGGAGTGCGCACACATTGAGGGAGCAACAACATCTGATGAACTGAGGCTATTATTAAAGTGATAAAATTACTAAAATACAAGACAAGGTGTCACCATTTATAAGAAGATCAACAAAATATAAACACTAAAATAACTGCTAAAATTTGTATGCAGTTCTAAATTGCACCTTATAAGAACTCAGCATAACGAGATTTATTTTATAATTAATTTCATGGTCTCGTCTTCCATTCAAACTTCCAATTTACCCCTTAAACTTGAGTTGGAGTTCAAGACTACAATGGGAACAACACATTAATTAAAGGAAAAAAATATGAAAGAAAGAAAGAAAGAGGAAGAAAGTAATTGAGTTGCACAACTATACAGTAGATGGGTGCTCCATCTTTAGATGTCCGAACGCTACCTGTGAACTCCATATCATCAACCACTCTCCTTCTTGTAGTTCTGGTTCATCATTGCAAGTCGTTTGACTAAAACAAATAAGCTCATCTATTGCCTGTTGAAATTTTAGAAGTGAAAATTACAACAATCACAGTAGAGCACCGGAAAAAAAAAAAAATCAACGTGAACTACGCACACACACTTACATCTTCAACGCCTAGCCCAGAGGAAATGGCTGATAATAACCTCTGCCTAGGTTCAGTCTTCTTCTGCAACACAAATGTAGTTCCCTGCACTACGTATATGTTGCTAACAGGGCTTAGAAACATAAAGTGCAGTTAGAGATACTTTGTCCTGTGCCAGACAAGAAAATATTTAGGGAATAAAGAAACTGATATGTTTTTCTTCAAAGTGCATAATCACCTTATTTCCTCTTGAGATACGGAGATTTCCTGAATGGGACAAATATGTGGTATCTAACCAACCCTTTGCTTCATCTCCAAGTAGCTTAAATGGGACTGGATATGGTACCTTAAATGGCAGAAATTTGAAAGAAAAGGCTGCTTTATCAAACCTAAATAGGATTCTTTTCCCATTTTCAATTGAAGCTGCAGCCTGCATAAATATGAGAATATAAATAGATCAAATATACCAATAAGCAAAAACACAAATTACATATTCAATCACCATACCAGGGATAAGGGGAAAATGCCTAACAGTCATGCCTAGTCATCAACCAGTGATCTTGAGAAACAGAGAAAATGAAACATTCTTGATTCCAAGGGACAATTTACTTTTCCATTAATTTTCCCAAAATTGTGCATTTCTGTTAATAGCTCCAACTAAAAAGAATGAGGCAAAACAGAACAATTACAAAAACCATGACACAAAGACAACTTCCAAAACAAATAGTCCTGGAATATCTAATCATTCTAACTGAGGAAATGAGAATATTTTCCTATGCATAGCTTTCAATTCTTTTATGAAGTAATCTCCTCTGCAAAACATTTTTTTTTGTTGGGGGGGGGGGGGGAACAGACGGACAGACAGGGAGAAAGATTTGGACCGCAAAATGTTTAACCAGATAGAAGGGTAGAAAATGCAAAATAATACTGAAACAATCACCTAACAGAGAAATTTGCCTACCGTTAGGTGTCAAGACTCAAGTCCATGAAAGGAACAGGTAAAAAAAAAAAAAAACAGAGAGAGAAAAAGAACGTATAATAGCCCTTTCTCAAGAGTGCATCTTAATGATTCCAAACTTCTCATACCAACAATGAAAAATAATTATAATGTCTTTATATATTTGGCAGAATCTTCGTATAATAAGAGAGTTACATCCATCCTGGTATTTATATCCTTTGTTCAGTAAATCAAACTACAGAAAGAAACATTAATTGATGTTATTTAGCATTACCTCCACTTTAAGCTCACCTATGGCATCAGAGAATTTTACAATATTGGAAACCCGTGGATCACTTGTCCGAAGATAAACCTCTTGAAAGACGCTAAAAAAGTCAACGCCAACAAATGTTCTCTGGAGGAGTGACATAGAAAACCATAAATGGTGAGGCATGCTTCGGTTAGGTCTGTGGCATAAAATATCAACTTATAACCAACAAATAAATTTGTTTTCCTAACGTTTGTATTCCAAGATATAGTATGTTTAAATCAAACTAAATATGCTTTAGATTAGGATATCAACCAATAGAACCTGAATTGGAGATGCTGTTCCTGGTCTTGTGGTGAACATTAGTTGCCATCGACCTTCAATTAAACTGGAGTTTGTCTGCAAAAATAGTTAGGTTTGGGCGTATTCAGAGATAAATATATATATATATATATATATATAATGCAACTTTATTTACAATGTAACGTCAGAGTGAACACCTAATTGTGAAGGCATACAATAATATTAATCAATAACATGCATCTAACTGAAGCGCACTTGGAAATAACAGATGACTGACAAGTGATAAGCCTAACTTAAACTTGATCCTCGGAATAAATAAGATGTATTACAAATCCACGAAGGCAAAACACGATTGTACATGAAGAGAAGTAACAACAGCTAAATTGAACACAAACCGGATGGGGCACCCCGCCTGAACCTTCTAAGACTTGTACTGCACGCTGAACGGCCTGCAAGACAAATAGAATCAAATGGAAAACAAATTAAGTACTTAGTTCTGGACTAACTAACTAAAGTTAGAACATACATCCAGCTGCTGAGGAGAAGCAGAACGTCCTCGTCCTTGGATGCCAATAAGGGCATCAATGAGAGAGTTTTCACGTTCTGTAAAGGGGATCTGTTCTCCTTGCTGTTGGACTTGAGAAGACCAAACAACGAGCCTGTCTTTGGGAATGAGAGAGAATTTGACAGGATTTGGAGAAGAGAGACGCAGAGAAGATGGAGGGAGTGAAAATGCAGAATTTGGGGGGAAACTAAAGCCGGCGACTTTGAGAGCCATTGAAGAGGAGGAGGAGCGGCAACGAGCGAGGGAGGGAGCTTGGGTTCTGTTCATTGTTATGTGGCTCACAGCTTCTGGCTGGGCGATGGAATGAAACACGTGGCACTCCGCTAACAATTGGCGGGAACGATCACTTCATTGATGTCATGGTCATGGCAACAGCCGATAGCCAGTCGTCAACCATTGCAGTTGGTAACTTTGAAAGTACGACGGCAATCCACGCACACTGAAAATTAAAATTTTGGAAAAAAAAAAAAAATTGTCTTATTTTACCGCTCGTGACAGCGAGAAGTTTCGTGGCGCTCAATATGGTAACCTAATAATTAAGGTATTGAAAACACTAAATCAAACCAAATCATTTCGATGTACATCAATTCAAACTAGTTATAAATAAGTTCGGTTTTTTAAATGATAAAATTGATTGGTTTAATTTAATTTAACTTTTTGTCTACTGAAACTAATTAAAAAACCGAACTACACCAAATAGTCAAATTATCAACCGGTCATATTGATATCTTGGTCAAACTAAAAAAATTTTTGGAAAGTTAGACTGGATTGGATTTTGGATCAGGAACTGCATTCAATCCTTAAAAACCAACTCAAAAGATGCCCTTCTTCTTTTTTTAAAAAAAATTGATCAATTCTTTTTTTAAGAAAATGACCCATTTTTATAACAATTTAATATTATGTTATATCATGGAGCTTATTAAATTATGATAAATTTAAAATATTTAATTTTATTTTTAAGTTAAATAGTAATTTTATATTTATTTTTTATATATTTGGTTCGATATCCAACCCTATTAAACTATACGAATCGTAAATTGTTGATCTTTTCTGTTTAATATATTGTCTAATTTTGAAACGTTGTTTGAAACTTAAATCAAATCGAACAGAGTTTTATTATATTTATTTTATATATTTGCTTATAAATGTGTCTAAATTTTTTCTCTTTCCCAAATTTATTTATCTATAAACGACTAATTAAAAACATGTTATGATTAGTTAAATATTCTTTATAATTTTTTATGATAATTTTTTTATTTTATATTTAAGTATGTCAAGGACAACATATTAGTTTTTAGGGATATATAATGCAAATTTTAGTCTCTTATATTTGCATGAGTTATCGATTTGAACCCTCATGTCTAATTTTTATTAATTTAATCCTTTACATTTGTTTCAGTTATCATGTTAATCCTCTAAATTTTAAAATACAAATTAGCTCTTAAAATAAGATGACATGTAAATTATGTTATTGATATGAAATATACACCTGGATGAATGGATACAGATCAACCTTTTCTATATTCCTATTTTATAATCTCTAATATTCCCTTCTACTTTCCAATTAGGTCATTTTAAAATAGTTTCAGAGGCAACTTGTATAGATGCTACGGCCGTATAAAACAGTGAAGCGCAATGACAAATTGAAGCCCGATCATGAAGCAGTGAGGAGAGATGGATGGAATAAACTAACAAGGCAGTGTGTGACAGACTCTAACGATGTCAAAAGATAGAGAGGGGAGAAGAGGAAGAAGATAGAGAGCGATCAAAATTTGAAAGAAATGACGGAGAATGATGAGAATTCAAAGGAGAAAACAAAGAAGGAATGTGAATTTAAATGGGAGGATAATTTAATTGGGAGGGGGAGGGTGTTGCTTTTTCTTCTGGATAATTTAATTTCTTTATTTTTGATATATTTTCTTTTCTTATATTTTGCTTTATCCATGTCAACATTATATTTATCTTTTTATTAACTTATGTGATTGATAAATCATAATTCCATTAGCCATGTCATTGATAAATTAACGGTGTTAATTTCTCTCCAAACTTTGATATTTTTATTGAACATAAAGGACTGAATTTGTAACATCCTATTTTATTTGGGAATTTAATTTATGAAAATTATAAGATTAAATTTTTATTTAGGAATTTAATTTAAGAAAATTATAAAGTTTAATTGACAATTAAAGTGTGTTTTGAGGAAAATTGAGGTTAATGAGTTTAGGCATTCTTCTTATATGGAGAAAGGCACAATAGTAAAGTCAATTGTGAGTTTTACTAAGTAGAGAAGAGAGGGGTCAAATGAGGTCATATTATATCCGAGATTAAGTTACAGCTATTTGAGAGAGAAGCAGAGAAAAAATTATTTTTGCATTTACATAGAGCAGTCTCAATAAATTAATATTTTTTTAATTTGTTTACCGTTTGTTCGGGCTTAAATTTAGTTATCAGGCCTATGGAATTACCCTTCTTTTCAATTGGTACCTTTTTTTTTGGGTATCTAAAAGTGACTAGATTATTATGGGAATAGGTATGAATACTTACCAAATATTTCCTTTGTTAAGAAAGAGGATTAGATTTGTAAAGTAACATAAGTCACTTTAATATTATGGATTAATTGGTATCTCATTTCAAGTCAAATTACATTAAGGGTAAAGGAAGTTTTCTTCCGCTATATTCCACTATGGGCACGTGTAATTGCAATCAAAGTCACACAAATTCTAGTTAACTTTGTGAGTTCAGTGTTTTTGAATTTGATTCTGGTGGAATTAGTCTCTTATAATTGTTAGTAAATCAATACTACACACCATTGTGTTTAAAGTCTTATAAAGACTATTGAGGTTACCTAACTTTACCTAAGCATTCAAAAAATTATGAATTTAATTGAAATTAATTGACATTGAGTTAGAATAATTTTTGTGGTATGGTAAATGGTAACCTGGGTGTGTATAAATGAAAAGTTAAATAACTAAATTTTTCACAATATTTTTCATAGTTAAAAATGAATATTTTGAATTAGAGCTTGACTTTGTAACAATGCATGTGTGGTTTCACTATGGGGTTTGAAAAAAATTGATTCTTATATGTTGATACTAGATTTTTTTAAAAAGAAATTATTATTTTCTGAATTGATGACTATATTGGTTGGTAATCATCACTTAAGCTTAGGTCTTAATGAGAGAGACTCAATAATTGTTCTAACTGTGTGCGTTGTTTAAGTTGTTCAAGATTTATGCGAATTTTAAAGCAATATTCTTTGGGTATAATCATGCTAAAAATTGGCGGTGTCGTGCTATAAGCGCATAGGTTAAGAAGTTAATATAGAATATAAGATTGATTTGGGATGAATTCTCTTGTCACAAACATATGAGTTACATTTAAAACTATTGTATTATAAAATAAATTTCTACCACCTTACCTACATAAAACTCTATTTTGAATTTAAAGAGACTGTTTTCTAAGATAATCAAACATAAATTTGAGATTTGTGATTGGTTTTGATTTCGTAAGTTGAGAAGGCTCAATTATTTAATCCACATGTCTAAGATGTAAGACAACTTCACTTTGTATTTTGATCATAAACTCTAAACCAAGCTATTTGGTTTTTGTGTGTGGCTTGTTATGCTTTTTATTCAATCAATTATGAGAGAAATTGTCACACATGGAATTATCTTAAAAATCATTAGATTTTAAACCAAATATTCTTATCTCATCTAGCAATAAATTTTGAGGCTATAGGATTGTATTTCAGGTGGAAGATTGTGAAATGATTTTTTGTCTAATTGTGCATAAAATTTACTAGGTTTGTAATAGTTGTAAATTTAATTGAAATGATATTTTTGGTTATGATTTATACTAGAGTCATATCTATGTGTATGCTTCTTTTTTTGAGGACTATTGCGATGGATAGAGATTATAATAAGTATAGAGATAAGAGGAATAGTAGGTATTAATGAGTTGAGGAATAAGATAGTTAAAGCTAGGAAGATGACCTAAAATTCAAAAAAGTGACAACTTGAGTTTACTCCATATCTAGAGAACTAATGTGGTGTATAACAAGAATAGAGGTAAAGTCAAATTTTGAGCTTGTGTCAAGCTTGGGTGCACTAGTAAGGGATTGATGAGGATCATATTGATGTTCGAGCAATATAATAGGAATTTTATTATGATTAACGAGTGGTGTTTACGACTATATAGAGGCTTAGATGTGATCCTACATATGGAAACAATAAGTAGTAATTCTAATTTTTTTAGAGTGCCATAGTGACGTGTGCTCTTTGTGTAGTAGGAATCAATTGGGTTTTGTTACTGAGTATCTTTCTTTTGGGGTAAGAATGTAAAAGTTGAAAATGGGTGGCATTATGAGAATAATTGAACCCTAGCACTGTTAGTTATGACCATGTTAATGACAATGGTCACTAAGAGAAGTTTAAGGACTTATGAGGTGATACGGTAAATAGGAATTACAGAGCTATAAGATAATAAAGGACTAGAAATTGTAATAATGAGGGGTGATAATAAGAATACATAAAGGAGAATAAGTGTACTTGAGATTGAATCATATGGTGATTTTTCCTCAGGGGAAAGAAATATAATCCCATAAGGATAATATGGACCTTAAGCGGTGGAAATTTTGAAGAATAACAAGAATAAGAAAATTTTTGCATACAATAAAAACTAAAAAAATTTATGTAAAACCAAACTGCCATATTGTTCTTATAGTTGCACAATAAGAAAATATTGTTGTCAAAAGGGTCGACTTATCAAATTTATTCTTCCTTCGTTTGCCTTTCATGCACTACTTGATAATCATTTATCAACTAAGTAAATGATATTTGGATTGTACTCATATACAAAAATATTCTTAAAAAAAGAGAGGAGAATTTCTTTTATATATATATATAATCACTATGTTTATGAAACGTTGTAAATATGTTAAAATATTTGACTACCTAAAACTCTAGCAATTGAACGTGTAAATGAGTGTGTAACTAGTAGTGTTATTGCAAATTTGGTTGTCTTTAATATTTTTGAATTAGAGTTATAGATTTTTAATGAAATGTCTTAAAGTTAATCGAGAATAAATATCGTCAATGTGAACTCAATCGATTACCTATAAAACACTAGAACTATTAGTTATTGGAGGATGAAAACATATTACCCATAAGTTTCATGATAATACTCACGCATGCATGTATTACTAAAGCTGCAAATGGCTTAATTGTAGAACTTGCAGTTTAAAATTACAGTGGTTTAAATGACGAATGAGGTTGTAATTCACATAACTTTAATGTGG